ACTACTACTACTACTACTACTACTACAAGGCAAACTGGCTGAAACAGAAATACTTTCGACTTGCATTAAGGAGGTTGTCTGTTCGGATCTTGGTCGGAATATCGTGACTGAAGTTTTATTGGGTTTCTCAGTCTCTACGGGAAAATCCGGGACGGTATCTCGACTATAACTTCCTTCCTAGCCCTTTCAATTTCATTATTCAGTATCACTGTGCTATCCCGAGCTACATAGGCTCAGATAATTAGAGAGTCGGCAAACAAGCCACGAGAGTTAGCAATATTTCTGAACGAGCAAGACAAGAGTTGAGAACAGTGAGGCACTGCATCCCAAATCACTCGGCTTGTCACGACGCTTCTGGGGGCTTATGCAGTACTAAGCACTGATACTGCTAAAGCTCGTCGAGGTATACCTTGGCAGAACTTGGGTGAGTGGGGGTGAGGGGTGTGACGGTCGCATAAGGTCGTTAGTGTTAGAGAAGCCAACAGAGCAACCTAGCATTCGTGACGTGGCATTAACTATCTCTCCCCCCCCACACACACACACACACACCAACGCCCATGGCTGTTAACGCTCATCCAGCCCTCATCACGGGTTGATTACACTTTCGTTACTCTGTCTAGGCTGGCAAGGAGGGTTAGTGGAAATAACAGGGGTGTAGTTATCATGTCTCAAAGGGTTGCAAAAGGGTGGAGTTTCCTTCCTTTTCATTTATACCCATTTTATACGACTTCCATATTTATCTCTCGAGACGAAAAAAAAAAAGGTTGGAACATTCATATTTTATCTTTTTTACGTTGGTTTGTCTTAGTGTGTTAGCGTAGAAATATCGAATTTACGTGTACATATCCCAAATTGCGAAATTCGAATGTGTGTATATGTTACAGCAGGATCGCGAGCAGAAGGAAATATCTTATCTTTACGACTTTCAGTATTTCATTACACAGAACTGTAACCTGTAAACCTCATCCACGATTTACGAGCAGGCAAAAATGAATTTCTAAATTCATTCCGATCTTGTAGATTGTCGTCTTCATTTCATACAGGCTCAGCATATTGTGACATCTACCGAACAGATATGAGAACTCCCGTTCAAGTATATTATGTAATAAATCTTCCAACATGCGAACTACATCACAAGGATATCTCGAATTTGGTGAGAGAAAATAGTAAATGTAATTTTTAACCTTCTCCTGTTGATGTAAATTGAATCTTACGAGTGTGTCACTTCGTATTACAGACAGTAACGAACGGCGGTCGACTTCATCACGAACAAGTGCAATTTCATTAGTCGTGAGCCTCACGCCGCATCATCAGGATGCGAGCAGGTGATTCGGACGAAAGGGAGGTTTTATTTGCGTTTGAAATGCAGATTATGCAAACATAAAATGAAATCATAGTGGCGGAGATACTGTCTATAGTTACAGACGTTTCGAAGAAGTAGGTTATTTGCGCCGACATGCTGTCCGATATTCGGAGGCTAGTGTTGCTTGTGGGGTGGGACTGAGTCCTTTGTACTGCGGCCACTTCTGGCCTATTGTACCAGCCCCAGATGATTGGTGAGGGTATTGTGGAGCAATTAGTGGACTGAAGATTGGCAGGGGAAACCGAAATACTCGGAGAAAACCTGCCCCAGCGCCATTTTGTCCACCACAAATCCCACTTGACCAGACCCGGGATCGAACCCGGGCCGCCGCGGTGGGAAGCCAGCGACTAACCGCTTGAGCTATGGCGCGGCCTATGCGTTTCATTAGAAACTGCACTGCTACCGAAATGGAAGGAACTACGACACAAAAGGTCACAAACTTCTAATGTAAGATAAGTTTCTGAACGGGAAACCTAGATATTTATAATGACCAGGCAGATATAAAAGTCTAACAGACACGTAGCAATGCTGGGCGGAGCTTGAATTGAAAAACTTTATAAAATTGATCAGATATTTATTGAAATAAAAAAAACTGTTCCGTTTCATTTATCTATCTTCATGTATTTCAGCAAATGTCGTTTCAATTTGTGACTTCGGCAGCCGTGTTATGCAGTGATAAAAATTTGAAGTGTCGGTTAAACCAAACAAAGACACACAATGTCATTTGTAAGACAGTGCAATATTTTACTCACCGATATCCGCCGAACCGCCCCATGTGCCCTGCTGTGCCTGTTTCGCTAATTTGTTGATGGCCTCCACGTAAAGGCGCGATGCTGCTGCCGCGCCTGGAGGAAAACATAAATACCTAAGTCAACATTTTTACAAGGTGTGAAACATTCGTTATGACTATTTCTTTGGATTTTGATCATAGTCATAGTTTCTTAAAACACTCATTTTAAAAAATGACTGTACTTCGGCCACGAGATGCGTCTCAACTAACTCCACTGCTTCTGGGGCTGGAGCTCTTTCCGTCTGTCACATAAATACCCGTACAGGTGTCATCAGCAAAGAGAAGGTGTTTGGGGCGTACAATTTATNAGATTTTCTGAGAACGGGGTCCACTCAGCCTCGTGGGGATAATTGAGGAGCTACTTGAATAAAATATCAATAGTCTGCAACATAGCCTGACCGCATACTGAGAGGCATGATTGTACTAATGGAATGGAGACTAGTGTCCAATCCACACAAGTTGTGTTATTTTGTCTTGCATTTGTGTTTCTTGTTTTGTTTTCCTTTGTTCCAGCTTCCTTCATAATTGATCTTTGGGTTGCTTAGTAAACAAGTAAATAAGAAAGAGCTGAGATGAATTATTATGAGTAATTTCTCTCAGTAGGGGGAACAATGGCGGAATTCCTGCAGGCAAGACAATCAACCTTCGGGTTTCACAAAAGAGGATGAACTTCCGAAATATCTGAGCGACTATTAGCTTCTCAAGAAGGACTATGCCCTATGGAACAAGTTTAGATATAGCTATTGTTATTATTATTATTATTATTACTGTTACAGTTCAAGAAGTATTTAAAAGGTTATTCTAAGGCTGTAGTTTATGGAAAGGTGTCTATACATACACCTCAGGGAAGACCAAGGCGTAGGTGGGTGGACAATATTAGAATGGATCTTAGAGAGATAGGATGGGATGGTATGGATTGGATAGATCTGGCTCAGGATAGGGACCAGTGGAGGGCTCTTGTGAACACGGTGATGAACCTTCGGGTTCCATAAAATGCTGGGAAATTCGTGAGTAGCTGCAGAATTGGCGGCTACTCAAGAAGGGCTCAGCTCCATAAGTAAGTAAGAAAGTAAGTAAGTCTATACATACATTCAGTACAAGGTTAGTCGATCAGCTTTATGTGTTTCTGCTCCGAATGTTGATACATTCAACAAGGAATTTTTGTGTCTCACATTTCTACTCGTGATGAATCATTTTTTAACTTTTCGCATTTTGAGCGTTACTTTCCTTATTCAGACACGGTACTTTTTTTATCTCTACTTCTGTCTTATTTAAAATGTATTATTTTTATTGTTCACATCATGCGTTCTCTTCAGTGTTCACCTGTAAATCCACATCTTGCTGTTGCAGAGCAAATGAATTAATGATCTGAATTGTTACTTCCTGCTTCATGTACTCAGAATTTTTTGTTACGGATAGCGTTTCTTAGCGTGTTTCAGCAACACAACTGTGATGTAATTACCGGACCGCGAATAGGGGTTGTAAGGTTCAATTCTGGGGAAGCATTGTTTTTAAATTCCTGTCCATGCAGAGAGCCTAGTCCACCACAGTAATTAAAGAGGCGATCCCCCCCCTTCTCCCCCGCTCTTAATTTCGGTAGCTTTATTCAATTTTATTTTCTGGATGTGACACGCGTCATACCGCAGTGCATATTTGCACAGAGCGACTAGCGTGAACAAGAGTAGTTCCAACACATTACTGTGGCCAGTTTACTTAGGCACTCGAATTTCGGGCAACAGCCATGAGCTATGAATGGCGTTACGAAATACCTAAGCTCTATGTTTAGAATGCCGAAAGTACGTGTTGTGTCTATAAACTTTTAAGTTCTAAGCACGAGATATATCGTTTAAAGTCGCTGTTTCATTCGGCTTCAGATACTTTTTTTTAATTCGCTTAGTGGGGGGTGGAGTCCAACTTGGTCCACTCGGCACGGCGGCCACTGATTGGCCTATTATACCCTGCACCGGGTGATTATGACGATGGAGAATTTTGTGGAATGAAGATTGGCAGGGAAAAGCGAAGTACTCGGAGAAAACCCGCCCCAGCGCCACTTTGTCCACCACAAATCTCACTTGACCAGACCCGGGATCGAACCCGGGCCGCCGCGGTTGGAAGCCAGCGACTAACCGCTTGAGCTATGGAGCGGCCACTTCAGATAAGTTATTGAATAAAACGGGAATCCACTTGCTGTTTTTCGAAAACCGCACTGAATATTTATGTCTTTTTAATAATATAAAACAGGAGTTACCTTAACTATATATATGCAGATATTTTTAAAACTTGCTTTAAAACCCGGCGTCAAAAATAATTCTAAATTACACTCTGAAAGCGACATCTAATTTGGAAAATATATCAAAAATAGATATTAACATACAAAAGCCGTGTACAAATAATATCTGCTTGACGAAAGGGAAAGTAAATTTAACATTGCTTTCACAATACAGCACTTATGACTGGGGTGGGACAATCTGACACGTCATCACCATCACATTGTCGCGTGTCCGGATTTACGTGAAGAATAATAAAATAGTCTTTCCATTGTTGACAATTCTTTTTACCGAGCCGTTGCTTAGCGAACCTTGGACCATCCACGTTACAATATTTGTGTATTGGGCCATGCTTTGTCTATTCCGTTAAACAGCATGTTACTCCCTTCGTATTCGTTTAAGTGTCCTATATTTGGTTGACTTATTCAATTTTATGTTGAAATACTTTTTGGAATTCGAAGGTAAATTTTACAAATATATATGTATATATACGAGTACAACATATGTATTTATATAGGTATATTTCTCGCTCATTTCAACATACGTAATCCAAGTGTATATCCCTCAGCCATTTAAAGTTTCCAGTGTTGCAGATGTCACATAAAAGGAGAGGAAGGGGGGGGGGGGCGCAGCTGTGTTATTTTTTAAATAAATGAACCCATCTGTGGAATGAGACAGTCTGAGCTCTCTCAAGGGCGAAGTAGGCACCATTAAAACAATCCCTCAACGAGGCCACTATATTAAAAATACACTGTTATCACACCCCAACGAGATTAACTTCATGTAGTATTATAAAGAGAAGCATATCAACGTTTTGCATGGTGCATGTGGATTTTCGTGTGGTAATATAACAATGTCCTTCCTGTAGTGTTATATAATACAAGTACACATATTATTGCAACATGGTAATGGTTAAGTGAGCGCTATTACCGGGTGTTATGTTCTCCTATTCCCCTTTTCACTAAACACATTTATAATACGTATTTCTGTCCCGTTTACCCTTTCCGAATGATTAAATTCTATCCCATTTTACCCTGTTCTACTTGAGTTATCTTTGCATCCAGCCCCGCCTTAATTCGACGTGATAATGTCCGTTATTGAAGCCAAGTGAATGCCTTCTCATGTGCTGTCATCTAGCGCAACATTCCTGCACTAAGAAAGACAAGTACAATAACAAAACAGCCGTTTCAAATTTCATCAAAAACCACTGTGTTGCGTTAAGTTAAACCTGATGTGGGCATAATTGTAAGCGGAAGTTGCATAGGCAGTTCATATCAGTTTATTTCATGTAGGTGCTTGAATTTGTTGGTAACCAAGTAAATTACCACAAAATATATATTAAGACTTCCATGTACTTTCACACTGTTATGCGCTATGAATATTTAGCAAGACTTCAAAATCAATAATTTAATTCCGTAAATTATACTACTGAAAATGAGTTCGGTAAAACCTACTGTAACGTGCTATCTTACGGTCATCGCTACGCAACGGCCACAATATGAAGTTATCAGCCTACAGTGAGTCTCCACGGTTACGACGAACACACGGAGAGTTCCCACAGAGACAACGCAATAACAGTGGGCAGTTGCGTAAGAATTGCAGAATCAACGAAGCAGCGTTTCCCCGCTGATAGACAACAGAAGGTTCACTGCGCAGCGACGGCCGCGGGTATATAACAAGGTAATGCATTTGCCGAGATAGTACTGGGATAGCCGTGGCCGAAGACAGTTCAGATCCAACCACGGCCAAGGACAGTATAAACATCGAAGTAGAGACAGAAGTCAAGCGATACTGCGAGTAATAATAATTGTAAGGTGTGTAAGATTGAGTATCCAATAAAGATTCGCTAAATCCGAGTCCCACGTAATGTTATTTGTCGCGTGACACACCAACACGTGACAATACTGTAAATTTATGGTGATAAAAATGTCCGCAAACAGAAACTCCAAGCAACTAAGTAAATCAACAGTTTCAAGCTATAATGCTAACCTTCAAAAGCTTCCTCTTCTGGACTCGTTCCTGAACTAATCCACATCTGATTCTCACAAATTAATTACGAAGATCCATATTAATGGTCTCCGGTCACCACTTTCATCGAGTTCATGTTTTCGTAGACATGATTAGAAACGTAAGATTTGAGGTTTTCACGGTGGCCACTATGAACAAAGCAGTCTCCTGGGATGTGGCGCCGTGTAGATATTGTGTTAAC